TCTTTTTTTTTTTGAGAGAGAGAGAGAGAGCGCGCACATGAATGGGGAGTGGGGGGCAGAGGGAAAAGGAGAGAAAGAATCTTAAGCAGGCTCCATGCCCAGCACAGAGCCTGACACAGGGCTGGATCTCACAACCCTGAGGTAATGAACTGAACCGAAATCAAGAGTCATACACTTAACTGACTGAGCCACCCAGGTGCCCCAAGTTTCGGTTCTTAAATATCATATTCTTTGATTTAGATTTGGCCAAAATATTAGAATAGAAATCAGAAAACCACCTACTACAGAAAGGGAGAATATTTTGGTTTTATTTAAACAGTAGAGTTAACAATGTTGAATAGTTGAATATTTTCTAAGTAGACAAATTTGGAAAAATAATGTTCTATTTGAATAATTCAGCTGACAATAATCTGAGATGAAAAAAATAGGACAACAACAATCATAATGCACTGGTTTTTGAGTCATTATTAAGTGCCAGACACTGTCTAGCTCTTTTGATGCATGCCTCGTTTTCTTTTCTGTGAAGTATTTACAAAAGTATAAACTAAGACTCAGGGAGGCTCAATTTCCTCAGCTGATCAATACCAGGGCTTGGGTTCAAAAGTGGGTCTTTGGGACCCCAAGCCCATGTTCTTTAACCATTGAGCCACAATGCTTCCCTGGAAATCACGAAGTTATGAAAGTTTCTTTTAGAGTCTTTCTATGTTAAATGCATAATTAATACAACTAACCTGAACCCAACTCTCATTCCCTAAATGATTAGAAAGATTACCTTTTGGAGCTGAAGATTTACAAAGCAGAAAATAGCCAAACCATGACTAACGTATCACCTATATGAGACAGACTTATCAGGAGATTCTTTTTTTTTTTTTAAAAGATTTTATTTATTTATTTGAGAGAGAGAGAATGAGGGACAGAGAGCACGAGAGGGAAGAGGGTCAGAGGGAGAAGCCGACCCCCGGCTGAGCAGGGAGCCCGATGTGGGACTCTATCCCGGGACTCCAGGATCATGACCTGAGCCAAAGGCGGTCGCTTAACCAACTGAGCCACCCAGGCACCCTATCAGGAGATTCTTTTTACTTTATTTTTTATTATGCCTCCAAAGGCAGTGCTAGAACATACAATCTCCTCAGTTGCACGAACAGAGAGGGATGCAAAGAATCTCAAGGTGACCCAGATGGGTGGCCAGGGAAGTGATTTGCTCAGCTTGGATGAGGAGCTCATCTCTAGACAAGCCCCTGTGGCCAGGAAGATGGCTTCAGAGGAGAAGACACCTATTCAAACCACAGGTTTATGTGGGACGTGGAAAGAAGGGAGGGGGCAGTGGGAGCCCCTCAGAAGAGACGGGCTGCTGGGCAGACAAGTCAATGGACCTCAGAAGAGACGGGCTGCTGGGCAGACAAGTCAATGGATGCCCACCTCAGATGTCATGCTCAATAATCCCCCCACTCCCCAAGATATACAAATAGTCATGCCTCTCTTCTTCTACTACTCATACGGTTTTATATTTTACATCAAAATTTTTAATCCATTTGGAATTTATTTTGATGTAAATATAAAGTATACATCTAATGTATTATGCCTTCCAAATTGGTATCTAAATGCCCCAGTGTACTATCATGCCATAACTGACGGAA